GAACCTACAGTTATATTTAGTCATTTCAATTGTAAAGTGGTGAAACCTTGATGCCAATCTAGTACTGTGCTTAAATTCATAAAATGTAGGCAACAAAGAGGAAGCAACAGACTTGATTTGGCAGCAATATTCAATGCATGGATGAATGGTACAATTATAAATATATAAGATAGGTTCTGGTGAGAACAACTGTTCACTCTGATACAGTGAACTAACTTTCCTAGCCAAAGACTTAACAATTGATTCAATATAATCTTTCCATTTCATGAAAAAAAATTAGCCCGAGCAGTCATTGGAAGTTAGCATCAGCTATGCTGATTGAAGCCAAAAAAAGCTTCTCTCAGGCAATTAAAAGAAAGCAGTTTTGTTTTGGAGGTGTTAAAAAAAGCCATTTCTTGCTGCGGTTAACAACAGATTGTAGGTCATTTTTAAGATCAGCTGTCAAGTTGGCCATATGAAACCTATCAGACCTACCATTAAAATAGGGATAAATAGTTGTGTCATCAGAATCAATAATAGCAATTAGTAAAATGTAAAATTATTACTTTTAATTGTGTTATATCTCGTACAAGATATAATAAACAAAGTAAACCCGAGTGTGGTTTTCAATAATAATTTTATAATCGGATGTAGGTATGTCAAAATACAGAGACAGAGTCAGGAGTAAGCTAACCGCAATGGTTTTAGTAACGAAGACCTTCTTTTTGTCGCTCCCCTTACTGTTTCCTGTGGTCGTACTTTATCGGCCACCAGACCGTCCATTATCGTGAATGGGGAAGTTGGGTTATCTCATCACAACAAATTGTGTCATAGAATGATAAATTGATACTTGAATCTTTCATGTTTAATATATTTTAATTGACTCCAGTTAATTCCCATTGAACAGTGTGTGCATATATGTTCTCAACCTCAAAGTCCTTATCCAGAAGTGGCTTTTACATTCTCATCTGCAATATTTCAAAGACTACCCACTCACCACTGGAGTGGGTGTTTATATATCTACCCCTGTCATACAGATTGTTCCTATGTTTGCAACCCAGGTGTAGCTAGTCCAGTCATGTCATTCTGCATTTGGCAGCCTAGAGGACACCTCGGGTTAAGCTTTGCTTAACTTGCAAAGTGTATTCTGGCATTTATTCAGGATCAGACACGCACAACAACAAGTAAATTTAAGCATTATTATCTAAAACTTTGGGAAAAGTCATTAATTTTCCATATTTTGTCCAGACAGTTGAATACCGTGGTGATACTGTGCAATGAAGAAAATAGCAAATTACTTTGTTGGCTAAAACACCCCTGTTATTAATGTTGATAAAGAAAACCTACCCTCTCAGATGAGGTTGATATCATAGTTTGCCAAGCATGTGTGTCATTTCTACCCACTTGTAAGTATCAACTCTTGTGTTAGTGAACAAAGGAATTGTTGTCTTTTGGGTGGTAAAATGCTGAGTGAAGAGTATGGCTTCTGTGACCTTATCTCCCTGTTACATGTTACATTTTGGCCAATATATTCTTCAGCCTTCATCAGGCACAAAATCTACAAGGGGAAGAAGAACCTGAAGAAAAAGATTTTTTCCTTCCTTCTTACAGATAATACGCATGACAAATGCTGAATGATGGATTGGGGAAAAACTTGGGTTATGAACACAAAGAAGTTCAATTGTCAGAAAAAAATTTATGCCAAGTGATTGTTGAAGTAATTTTGGCAAACTTGGACGTTGGTACTGGGAAAAAAAAAAAAAAAAAGGAATGTCAAAAGGATGTTTTTCCTTTGACACCACTATTATTTTAACTACCTTTACTCCTCAGCATTATTTTAAAAAATGATGATTAAAATTGTAATAAAACCTCGGCATATGAAATTGAATTTATACATTTTCTTTGTTATTAAGAATTGACAAAAAAAAAATAATAAACAATATTAGATTGTTTATTTACACTATTATATACAATATTATTATTGGACTCGTTGGCAAAACATCAGCTAATTGCAAATTGATTCAAACTTTATAAAATGGTAAATGAGAAAGATTTCATTATAGTTGGTTCACATATCTTAATTTATTAAATGTTCATAAATATCTGAACAAATATTGCATTGCATTAGTTTTAATTGTATTAGTTTTTAGAATGTTGTAAATATAGTGTTTAATATTTTAGTTGTAAATTCTCAAGAAGAAAAAGTTAATGTATAAATTCATTTTTATCATATGTTTTGGTTTTATTACAACTCTAATCTTTTCAAAGCATTAAATATTGCCAAGAATGGAAGGTACTCAAAATAATGGTGGTGTCATTAGAAAAATTGTCCTTTTGACACGTTTTTGGAGGCACGAAGGTCGAAGTTTCGTGTAAATTTTTCATCTGTGGGAAAATAAAATGTCCTGAAGTGCATCAGAAAAAACATTTTTATCACAACAATAGAACTTACAAATAGCATTTATCGACAATTGCTATGCAGACATCTAAAAAAAAGAAATGGAAACCATTTCCTTAAGAAGAGCATCTTTTATTAACCAATAAGTCTTGCATCTATCCTGTATTTAGTGCAAACATCCTCTCCTTCACCAGATATTATTATCATCAAATACTAACAAGTATGAGCCATTAAAATTTCAGTCATATGATTTGAATTTTCTGAGGAGTCATAATTCTAAAGTTAATGGTTGAATAAGCTTTTTGCGAGCTGTATGTCTCCAACCATGGAAATTCCCCAATTGCAGCATTAAATGTTTCAGCTCAACAACTTTAACAAAATATCGCAATAACGATCATAAGTATGAATGCAGGCCATTATTTAAAGAAGTAGGAGGATATAAAGGAGATTTTCCATTTCACTGAAGCAGACATTAAACACATGAAAGTATTATCGTCTCTATCACCTATCTCTTTTTCTCACTGTCTTTCCAGTCTTTCCTCCTAATCAAAAGAGAATAGTCCATTATTAATGAAGTATTGGCAGGACGTAATGTAAGTGCTAAGGAACAAGCAGAATTATAACAATCAATGGCTGGCTACTTGTTTTTGAGCACACCCATCTCCCAGGGCAGCTAGCAAATCCCTATTAAAGATGCCCAATCAACCCCCAGAGACCACCTGTAGTTTATACTGCAATTAAGCTGAGCAGACCTTAGTTACAGTCTTTGAGAGTGCATAATCTGGCATGATTCATTTTTGGAACAAGGCCTGTGCACTCAAATCTTTAGTCACGATAACTTGTGACTTCATGTTCACCAAACCATCAATGGCTTCCAAACGGTTCCATTTACCAAATTTCATTCACAAGGCTTGGGTTAACCTATGTTGTTATTTGCAGGCATGTTCAAAAGATGCCACACCCTGAAATTGATCTCCGACTGATCTGATATTATCAACACATCACATCCATTGAACATGGTGAGATTTTAACCTGGGTCTCAAAGCTAGAAAGCAAACTTTCTAACCATTTAACCACATGCCCAATAATAATAATAATAATAGATATTCATCCATGCATTGAATATTGCTGCCATATCTGGTCTGGTGTTCCTACTACATATCTCAAAATACTTGACAAAATTCAACAAAAATGTCTGTAATGTAATTGATCCTCTTGACATCAGCTATTTTATCACTGCTGTGATGTGGCTTCCCTCTGCATTTTCTACAAATTTTTTCTTGGGAATTGTCCTGCTGAACTTTCCTCCTTGGTGTCTTAACTGCATGAATGTAAGCATGCTACCAGATTGGCAACTAGGTCATATTGTTTTACTGTTGAACTAGTCAGATGCAACCATATGTTTAAATAGTTTCTTTTCTCACACTTCTCACCTGTGAAAATCTGTTCTGGTTTCTTGCTTCCCTGCCCACCTACAATCTTCAACAATATAAATGCAATGCCAATCCTGATTTTTTTTTTTTTATTGTTCTTTTTCTTGACTTCCTCTCATTATTCTTTCCTGCCCAATAACATCTTGTGTCTTAGTGGCATTATCACCTTGCATGGAGTAAAATGTTCAAAAAAAAGGGGGGGGGATGAATTACTGTATATACTCATGTATCATGCAAATTTTGAAGACCTAATTTTAAAGCTAACTTTAAGGGGGTTGCATTCATACACGAAATATAAAATTAGCATATGTACTGCTGGCCCTGGTTACGCCATTGACGAAACTATATATCAGTTTACTGTAGTCAAATTTCCTTCAAAATTAGGTCTTCAAATATCACATGATACACGAGTATATATGGTATGTCAAAACTTTGGAAAAAAACCTTTTTCAGGAGAGCCAAAAATTCAGTACTTTTTCTTGGCTAATAAGTCTTTTATCTATCCAGAGGAATGCTGGAGTAATGGATTGCGGCTCGGATTGTGGAATCAGAGTCGAGTTCAAACCCATTACATTCACTTATGTGCTAATATCCTTTGGAAAGGTATGAATCCTCCTCTTCTCCCCCCAGCTATGGTTAAATAGCAGGACAGATAGGATGGCAACTGGTCTAGCCCAGAAAGAAGTGGCAACCTACTGAGGGGAAAAAATCTGCCTCATCAGTCATGTATCAAAAGATACATGATTGCCTCAGCGTGTATCACGCATGGCGCATAACTGACTGATCTATCCAGATGTGCATTGTGTTGTAATGGATATCAGAGCTGAGTTCAAATTCACTTATGCACAAATACCCTTGGGAAAGGTATGAATCCATCTCTTTTCCCCGACCAGCTATGGGTTGAATAGCAGGACAGACTGGGTTCTTTAGCCTTGGTTGGCAACCAGTCTACCACAGAAAGAAATGGCAACCTACTGTTGAAAAAATCTGCCTTGTCAGTTATGTATTGAAAGATACATGATCACCTATGTATGTATCAGGTTAACTGACTGATCTATCCAGAATTTAACATTATCTCCATCATTGAAATGTCTTTAAAAGAAATAAAATAAGGAAAATTGTCAAAGAATAATAGAAAACAAAAATGTTTATATTCTACCTGATCGATGCTTTAAAAATTTGGCTCTCACCCAGTGAATATTATTGTTACATTTTTCTTTTGTTGCTTGAAATTCAAACTGAAAAAAAAAACAAATCAAACAAAATTTGAATGTTTTCAATAATGCAACTGTTTTTGAAATTGTGCATCAATGGCATGCAGAAAAAAAAAATTCAGGTTATGTTCATAAAATAAATCTGTGCTGGAATTTAACAAATGTCTTTCAAGTCCGTCTATCATTCTATTTACATTGTTCGAACTTCTGTCCTCATATTTCGGCCATTGTATGCTCTGGCCTTCTTCAGGTGACTGGAATTTCGAACTGAATCCTTTATTTCATCAACCAAAGTATATTGTTCTAGTTCCACATTCCATGCCTCTTCTGGAGGTCTCAGTATTAGTTATTTCCCTTTAACTCAACTCTCCAAGTTTTTGTTCACCTCAGCTGTAGTCAGGTATTGAACTCACAACTCTTTGGGTCAAGTCACTGGATTCAACCCACATTTTTATCCAAGATGAAGCCAACAGTTCGAACAATGTAAATAGCGTAAATAGCTCATCTCAGAAATATAAACAGATCTCTATCATCCTATAACTGAAGAGTGCTACTGTCAAAATTTTATGTTCTTACTAATGGGAATCTGAAAGAAGTTTCTAGCATGGTCCTGAACTCCAACTGATTGGGGGACCCAGGCAGTGCTTTCTGACCCTCGCTATCTTATCAACATTTGATTGTTTTTCTGATTAACCTTTATATACGTTACAAATGAAACTAAGCACAACTATTTTTCGCAGATTTTGATGTCATTCTGCGATTTTTTTTTTTTTCTCCAAATCCTTGAAATTGTTTTGCTTAAGCTAAGTCTTCAAAAAACACTAAGTAAAAGTCACAATTTTTTTATTCGTAATATTGAACGTATTAAAATGATTCAACTTTTTCACAAGAAAAATCTCAAGTTGATGTTCAAAACTGCCGAAAAAAATTGAGATGGAATTGAGTGATGTCCTGTATCATTTGGGGGGAGAGGGCTGTATTATAGATTGTGGGGATGCGATAACCTTGCACCAACCCTGTTTCTTTGCATAGTGTTTTTAGTGAGGTGTTCGATTTACAACAGAAGTATAATGTTAAACTGGACTCTGATTGTAAGTCCACCGAGTTAACTAAACAGTGAATCTTTTATCTTTTCATTTAAGCGTATAAAATAATAGCTGTAAAGTTCTGAGGCAAAAATCTAAGTTATATTCTTTTATCTATAGTTTCTTTTCTTATGACTTTGGTGGGAGGGGAGATTACAAATACAGTTAAGTCCCCAGGTTACAACAGTCCCGACCTATGACGATTCATGGTTATGACACAATCTCCATTAATCTTGTTTCAACTTATGTCATTAGCCTCGTACATACAATGCAGACAGAAGAGCAGAAGAATATATTGCGTGATGGAAGAATATGTCATCAGAAGTTGGCATGGGTCAGTTTCTGGTTGTACTGGGTAATAAATAAACAAGCAGCTTAAAAACAATTTCATTATGTATTATATTGACATCCTCCATGTGTTTTTTTTTTTTGTTCTAATTATGTTGACATATGTCATAGAAAAGTGTTGTTATGTCCTAGATTATTAATTTGTCATAACCATGAATTGTCATAGGTTCGGACTGTGGTAACCTGGGGACTTACTGTATTTGTGATCTGACCTACTAACCTCAGTCTTAAGAAAAGAAGCCATAGAAAAAGTTTATAACCAAGATTTCTGGCTTGGAACTTTTCAGCTAGATTTTATATGGTTAAATAAAAAGACAAGATTCACTGTTTAGCTAACCTGATGAACACAATTTTTTCTTGCATTAACATAGGTGAGCGGCGCAAGTACTTATTCACTGAAAATTGCAGGTACATTCCGACTTACACGGAAAATTGTGTTTCCATGCATCATAGGTAAGGAAATCTGTCAGAAGTTAAGGACCCTCTGTATATAGTTTGGTTTTAGACCTGTGTTTATTGTTGGATTAAAAATCTGAGAAAAAAAAATCTAGATTTATAAAAAAAAAAAAAAAAAAAAAAAATAAATAAATAAATCTGGGTACACAAAATATTTTGCTCAGTATATAAATGAAATATGATCCAAGAGTTTATGATGGTGACGATTATCAAATAAAATATGATTTGGAATGTTCAGGAGGTGAAAACTTGGCCTTGGAAAAAGATTCACTTTGTTCACAAAGAAAAAGGAAAGTTTGGAAGATAAAAATTTCAGGTTTAGATTGCATCTGCTTCTTTTTCTTTTTTCTTTGCAAGCAGGTAAAACATAAACACCACATTTTCAAATATCAGAAAAAAGCTGTTTACAAAATAATATTTTTAATTATTTTCTTTTTTGTCCATTTCCTTCTAATGAAGACAGTGAATAGACTAGACACAAGAAGATTTCTTTATGACTTCACCTTGCACTATTACATCCGGCTGCTACTTGTATTATCACGCTGGCCGCTTGGACTCCGATTACTTAATATACTGTCATTTCATTTATATCTCATACATGGATGTAATAGCAGAAACAAAATGCATGTGAATATTTAACAGAAAATGCCAGGCGCCACATCTACTGTTTCTTAAGCTTTTCTTTACACCAGCAAATGCTGGGTGATATCATGGACCGAGTGTGTGAGCACTGATGAGATCTTAAAGAGGATCCAAACAAGGAAGAGGCTTATACTTGACATCAGGAAGTTTCTGGGACACAATGTGGAAGGAGGGCCTGGAGAATCTGATACTCACGGGTCGAATAGAGGGAAAGAGAGACAAGGGAAAACAACGCGTGACATACCTGGCAGGTTTGAGCAAGTGGTTGACAGAACATGGTCTGGGAGAGAAAACAGAAGGAAGGAACTTGTTGAGAGCTGCAAGGGATAGAGGAAGGTGGCGAGCCATGATCGCCTACGTCCTGAAAGGACATGGCAAAAGAAAAGAATTGATATTCCAAACTTAGTTCTTTATCAAATAAAAGAAAAATATATTTTTGATCAAATAGCTAAAGGAGTTGTGGAAAGTTGATGAGATGAAAATTTGGCCTTGTAAAAAATATACAACACATCCACAATGGAAAAGGAAAGGAAGAAAGCAGATAAAATGTAAATTCAAAATTTTTACATTTCAGAAATGGCTGGGGTGATTTACAAAATAATTTTTTAATGATTTTTTTTTGTTCAGTTTTTTCTAATGAAACAGTTTTTATATAACAGAGAATAGACTAGACACAGGAAGATTTCTTTATGACTTCAACTTGCACTGTTACATTTGGCTGCTACTTGTATTATCACGCTGGCTGCTTGGACTCCGATTCACTACTTAATGAATAGTACTTTTATTTACCCTTTTTAATTGAATAACAGACACAAAATGTGTGCAAATATTTAACAGAAAAAGGTTCAGCTCAATCCTAAAGGGCATTACTTGAAGGGCATTACAATTTCTAATAACTTAATAACTATATTTGCTTAAAAGCTGTACCTTTGAAGACTAATGATTTTATATATGTTTTAAGTGCTTTATTTCAAAATTGAAAAGGTCGATGAATTTTTGAGGGAACTCATAGCAAAGTTCTTCAATAAACATGTATGTATTCTGGTTAGAAGGAAAAAAAAAATAAACAGAATGAAATAATCTTATGCTTAATCTTTACAGGGAATTTTGGTCAGCTAAGAGAGTTTTTACTAACAAGTCACCTTATGATGATAGACTAAACCTGACAGCAAGATTGGGAAGTTTTGAGGAGTGTGGAACCACCTCTTAATTGCTGTTGTTCCCAGGTTCACCCTGACCCAGGGTGGTAGCACCTGTTAGGGTCCCAGCTATGGGCAAATAGTGACCCCCCACCAAACTAGAATCAAATAACTGAAAAAAAAAAAAAAAAAATACATTTTCATAGTAAAAAAAAATAAAAAAAATACCAGCAATAGATTTTTAAAAAAAATTTATAATTACCAGCTAGAGATTTTTGTAACAGAAAAAATTACTGAAGCTCCAAAGAAAATTAAATTTTGGCATTAAATGACCCATAAGGAGTTGGTATGCTATTAAACAAACTAACAAGTCAAGGGTTAGAATAGAAGCCTGAGAGAGCAAATTGGTGCCTGTGGACTGAAATTAGAGAATTATATATTTTACTTAACAATAGTACTACATACAAAAAAAGAAAAAAGGTCAAATCCACAAATCTCTCGTGATGACCTACTTCAATAAAGAAACAATTTTATAAACAACTGTCAAATAGTTCAGCAACAAATGGAATTTAAATTAACACAGACATAACAATCGACATACATAATTGTCTATAAATTAAAATTTTCTTTTAAAAATAAATCTTTCAGTTAAAATTTAGGTGTGAGGCTATACAATGATAATAATTTAAATTAGGTCAAAATCCCTATATGAAGAGAAGAGGAAGCAGCAGTTGTTAGTGTCAGCCACAAAAATCTTCAATTACTAAAACAAGCTGTTACATAACATTATATATAACCCACCAGGTCTAACCATCAAAGCTAAGACCCACTATGCCACTTATATAGTAGCAAACCCCACCCATATTCCCTCTGTATTCCATTAGTGAGGAGTAAGTTCCACTCAAGCAGCTTCTTCCTGTGAACCACTGCTCTCTGGAACAGACTCCCAAGAGGATGTTTCCCTGATCACTACAATTTTAACCTGTTCAAGTCTAAAAATAACCATTATCTTCCCTTCCTATTCATATAAACTACACCTTAACATAACCTTCTACCTTGAGTGGCTCCCAAGCCTTGTACAAAGTGAACCTTACTGTAAAAAAAAAAAATTTAAATGAAAATATAATTATATATATATATATATATATGTTTAAAAATATATTATTAAATATAACAGTCTGAGTGAGTATTATTGTGTTATCAACTAATATAACACACTAATACTCACACATACACACAGTAAAAAGAACCTTCAGATATTGGAGGCCACCGATATTAAAATGAACAAAATTACATTTCAAACTAATCACAACACATTAAATTGCATCTAGACACTAGTTCTGTTATAATACTTTGGTCTATCGTGTGGTATGACGTCATAGAACTGCATCTTGAACTTATTGCCGCATAGCAATTTTGTATGTCAAAATAACAAAATATCAGCTTTGACTGTGGATATCTTTGTTTCATGTCTGTATAACCACTCTGAGGGTGACTGATGTGAACCGAAAGCTTAGGACCAACTTAATAAAAAAAATATCCAAATGTTGGACAATTTTTGTCTTTATTTTCACCAGAAATTAAAGCAAACATTCAAAAATTAGACCGGCTCATGATCAGACATAATAGACATTTATTGTCTGTTATATTTAATAATATATGTTTAGATAATGATCTGCTGCTCCAATATATATATATATATATATATATATATATATATATATATATATATATATATATATATATATATATATATTGTGTATTTGGGCAGCAATCCCTCTTTTATACAGGTTTCATTAAAAACAACTGACAATGTACTGCAGTTAAGTATTTTATTTAAATTTCCTTGTGTTCATATAAATTTCTTCTTTTCTGGAAACAAATTCTGTGGAAATTGTGTGAATGTTTTGTATGTCCGAGTGTTTTGGGTTATACTTTTAGGCATTATCAAGGATGATTTTCCTTTTACATGTAACTGAGTGTATGGATTGTTTTATGGGTGTATCAATTAGGAATATGGCCACAATGTGCTGACCGTGTTTGGAAAATAAAAGATTCCAATAACTCTCAATACATACCACAGTACCTTGTCAGTCATTTTTAATGAAACTTATTTTTTATGTATACCCATATTTGAGTATACGCTTTGTTTATTTATTATAAATATTTATCTTGCTTAAAGGCACTGTTCAGCCTTGCTTGATCAACAAAGGTGCCTGAGTCAGTTAAAGCATGTTGGATCTAATTACGATTCCCCACACACTAGTAGATGAAGGTTTCAATCCTCCCAAAGAGCACATATTTTTCTTTAATAAAATTTCTCAAATATTCAGGCTGTTAGACAAAAATAAATGAATATACCATTTAACCAATAAACAGAGTGTCTACTCAAACATGAGTATCAACTAAAAATAACTTTTAAAGTGATAAAATCATTTGCATTAATAAATAAAAAACCCATTATTTCTTTATATATATGTATATATATATATATATATATATATAGGATTAATGGAAATAAAATTTATCACTGAACTGATTGATGTTACATTCAGTGCAACTCTGGAGTTTCCTTATCGAAACTTTTTACAATAATTCGATCTACTCCTCAGCAGGTTTCAGAAATTGATGGTGGATTTTATTTTTGTTATTTTTATACAGTTAAAAATTTTCATATGTTACTTATTGGTGTTAGGTTGACTTTTTCTCCTTGATATAGAGGGGGTGTTTGTGCATGCGTATGCATGAACATATGTTCACCCAATATAAGGGCTATTCAAGGCAGATGGTTACTGAGAATGATTTTAAGAGAAGGCGAAGTAAGAATGTTATGAGTATAGGATATATATATATATATCAATTGACACTTGATTTAATGGAACAGGATGGTGAGAGATTTTCTCTCAAACTCAACCATTTTGTGTTCTATGACAAGCAATAGAAAATAAAATAAATAATGATGACGTATGGTCTTCAAAGTCGTCATCCATTTGACTGAAAGGGTAACATATGAATAGATAAATGAATGAAAAATAGATTAAAAAATATCAAGTTTTTATATATATATATATATATATATATATATATATATATATATATATATATATATTTTAAGACATTTTATGTTTAACATTCTTTTATAGATACAAATATTTAAGTAAATGCTCTGTTTATAATAAAAAGTATTAAACAACATTTACCGGCCTGAATGTCTGAGAAATTTTAATAGAAAATATTCGTCCTCCGACAGGATTCGAACCTGTATCCTATACGGAACCGTCATATAGCCTGACATGCTTTTACCGATTTCGCCACAGATGATCGATACATTAGCAAGGTCGAATTTACTGCTTTTAAGCTTCAATCATCCATAAATCTCTCACGTACATTCATGTCTGCTCATGGCATATCAAAATGTAAACAAATGACATCACACATTATGAAATGGACAAAGTCCGACAATTATTTTAAGACAATTTTTATGTTTAACATTCTTTTTATAGATACAAATATTTAAGTAAATTCTATGTTTATAATAAACAGTATTAAATAACATTTACCGGCCTGAATGTCCGAGAAATTTTCCAAGAAAATATTCGTCCTCTGACAGGATTCAAACCTGTATCCTATACGGAACCGTCATATAGCCCGACGTGCTTTTACCAATTTCGCCACAGAGGATAAATCGGTTAGCAAGGTCGAATTTATGTGTGTGTGTAAAGAGTGAGTGCTGGTTGTAATAAAAAATAATATAGCTAAAATTAATACCAAGAATAAGTACATCTGTTCCTAACCATTTTCTGCAACTTATATATACTATATAAACCTAGTGAGCCAGAACCTAACTACCAATGTTTCACCTAATAGATCTTCAGGGTACTACTGAAGATCCATTAGGTGAAAACTTGGTAGGTAGGTAGGTTCTGGCTCACTAGATCTTCAGGGTACTACTGAAGATCCATTAGGTGAAAACTTGGTAGGTAGGTAGGTTCTGGCTCACTAGATCTTCAGGGTACTACTGAAGATCCATTAGGTGAAAACTTGGTAGGTAGGTAGGTTCTGGCTCACTAGATCTTCAGGGTACTACTGAAGATCCATTAGGTGAAAACTTGGTAGGTCAGTTCTGGCTCACTAAATCTTCAGGGTACTACTGAAGATCCATTAGGTGAAAACTTGGTAGGTAGGTTCTGGCTCATTAGATCTTCAGGGTACTACTTGAAGATCCATTAGGTGAAAACTTGGTAGGTCGGTTCTGGCTCACTAAATCTTCAGAGTACTACTGAAGATCTATTAGGTGAAAACTTGGTAGGTAGGTTCTGGCTCACTAGATCTTCAGGGTACTACTGAAGATCCATTAGGTGAAAACTTGGTAGGTAGGTTCTGGCTCACTAGGTTTTTAGATTTTGCTCTACTTAATGTATTGAGCACTTTTATGTTTTTACTTAATTTACTATCAGTGTTTTTTCTTTTGACTAGGCATTGCAGTGCTGATTGATCCTTTTCAACTGACATGGATGTCTTTAGTCTTTTCTTTTATTTACTGAATATATATGTATGTATATTGTCATCATAGGCATTATCTCGTATCCAAGAATTTAATTTCTTCTTTGCTGATTGCTTCCTTTATGATGACGGTGTTAATGACTAAGTCTGGGCCAACTTGCAGGCTCAGGATTAGAAGCTCCCAGCTTTACCAAAATTTGTTACACTGTCATCCATTCATTATCACAGTTTGGTTTTGCTAGAGTTGGTTGGAGGTGAAACAAAATCCAAGTTGAAGAAAATGGCAATGACATGATTTTGTTTAAGGTGGACCTCAACTTGCCAGGAAATGACCCACACACTTGATTTCATGACCTTTCTCTGCAGTACATATAGCATGCAGAATCCAATTATGAAATTGCAATGGACTGCCCCTGACTCTAATAATTTTGAGTGGCGCCTTCTGTACCTCGTTCGTCATGCATAGCCCTCTTCATTTGCTGGTTCAACAGTTAAAATCTCTTGTAATCACATTCTACTTCTTCCATTATTTGGGTCTTTGAGGTTGGTCATACTTAGTTTGGGTCCTCATTTTTGATCTTATCTAGGATGCCCATGTTTTCATTACTGGGATTGTTTTTGGCAAATTTTTTTTTACGACAAATTCTTTTTGGTACAATAACAATTTTCATAACTTGGAAATAAATTTGGGAACAATTGAAATTAATTGAGAAATCCAGCAAAAGTCACCCATGAAATAAAAGTAATTGTTTGTACAGAAAGTAAGGACCTACGTACATCAAATTGTCTTTAAATTAAGTGGCTGCAGAAGAATTATCGTTGAACTTTTAAAAGGTAAGCTTAAATGCAGCAATCAATTTTGAGTTCTCCTGTAATTTATTGTTGCTTATCGCATCTACTCCTCCCTACCTATTGTGATAAAGGCATAATCAAGAGCGCTCCGCAGTATCTAGCTTAAATTCTGCCCAATTTTTTTTTAGACATTAAATTTACCAAAAATGGCTTGTAATGATGTTCAGTAGTCTATGATTTTCATCCTTTCTTTTTTCCTGGCCAATAGGATTGATTGGTTGATTCCTTCTCTACTGTATGTCAACTCTTTACAGGTTATTTGAAGCCAAAAAATATTTTTAGATTGTAAGAATATTGTTTTTAAGATAATAATGTTTTAGTCTTATGAGTCTCACTAATTAACCCATAGATGGGGGAAGACGACATGGATTCATACCTTTCCTCAGGGTATTTCTGCATCGGTGAATAAACACAACAGGAAATGAAACTCGGCTCACCGATTAACAATTTCGAGCCATTATGCACTGCATTACACCACACACACACACACACACACACCTCTGGTATTCCCAGACAGTCTCCCATCTAGTTACTGGCTAGTCTCGACATTGCTTAACTTTGGTGATCATACAGGAACCAATATTTCAACAGGATTTGGCCATAAGCACATAGGCAACAGACTAATGCATGCAAATCAGCTTTTTACCTCCGCCAATATGGCAACCATCAAAAAACTAAAGCAACATATGGTTTCTTCCTTCTTTTTTTGCTGATAACCTAAATTCCTACTTGGCTTACAGCCACACCATGTTGAAATAAACAGTTCCTCTAAGATCACTGAAGTTAAGCAACACTGAGCCTGTTCAGTACCCAGATAGGTGACTGCTTGGGAATACCAGGTGCTGTAAGCTTGTGTGTGTGGATGGTGTAATGGATAATAGTTTGTATAAAGCTTGTTAGGTTTGGTGTTACTGGTTCAATATACAGGGTGCGATGGGCAAATTGTCACCATTTCATATTTTTAATTTCACACGAGTGTCATTTGCTTTTGATTTTGTCAACTGTACAGTGAAATAGAGACAGTTGGACACTGTCTGTGAAAAAAAAAAAAAGTGCCATGACGCAATTCACTCCAACAGAAATTTGGAAATGGTATGCTGTGCTGCTTGTCATTCACACCGGAAGCACCAATAAGAACATTTCAGAGTGTTTGGGTGTCAATCTGGAGACAATGCAGAGGATTCAGAAAGAGTTGGATGAGTTTAATGGTGATTACGAAGGTACAGCAGCTCAGAAAACTCACTCTGTTCTGATTAGAAAAGAACTCATGAATTTGTTGGTGAGGGTCTCAGACTCAACATGGAAACCTATATAAAGTGCATTGAAAAGGTAGTGCTACCCTGGGTCAAGAGGAGAAGTGATAGGTCTGTTGTTAGACATGTCAACGATAGAGGGCTTTTAACACCACAGGGTTAAATTGGTACAAAGGGGTCAATTACTGTTCTTTGCACTCATTTAAATAGTATAACAGGAAATATTCATTGCATTCACAGTAAATTATAAACAATTATTAAAGTATTTATATAATAAATATTAAAATGTTTATATAATATAAATAATATAATAAATAAATAAATAAATATTAAAGTATTTATATAATATAATTATTCACAGTAAATTATAAACAATTATTAAAGTATTTACTTGTTTGGTTGGTGTCAGTTCCTTATTGGCTTCTACCTTGTTTCTTTCCCTATATATATATATATATATATATATATATATAATATAAATTCATCAACAGACTTTACTTCCAAAGGTTGAAAATTTTTCATTTCAACCTTTGGAAGTAAAGTCTGATGATCCAGAGCCCTTTGAAAGGGCTGTGGTGAAATAATTTATTACATGGAACCTTAAAGTGGTCTGTTTTTTATTCAAACATATTTGCTCTGAATTTACATTGAGCTCTCCAGATATAATCCTCCTTGGGTCTACCCATACAGATTACCTAGTTTTGCATAAACTATATATATATATATATATATATATATATATATATATATATATATATTTATGAATAAAAATGACAATAGGAAAACTATTATTTATTCATAAATATTGTCTTCTCTACCGATTAAATCAGAGAAATTTTCATATATATATATGTGGGAGCACAAGTACCTCTGTTGTTTTATTTTATTGTTGTTTTATATTTTTTTGTATTTCTTTTTTTTTTTTTACTTCCTCTTATTGTCAAAAAAATAGGGAGTGGGGCAGAAGTGTAGCTTATAGGTAAGTCTCCCACCTCCACCCATTTAAAGTCTGTGTATACATTTTTTTTTTTTTTTTTTTAAATCTGATATTAAATAAAGACGGTTTATTATTCTTATTATTATTATTATTAGTAGTAGTAGTAGTATTGAGTAAAGGGGGGCAAAAAGATTAAAAAATATAAAAAAAAAGGAGGGAGATAAAGAATGCTAAAGAGAAAGAGAACAACAAAATCCTGGGAAGAGGCATTTTCACTAGAGCTCAAAATCAATGAGGAAGTTTTAAATAAAATGGAAACAAAAAGCAAATTTAGAATCAGAAACAGCTGAAATAATGAGGAAAGTAGGCTTGGAAAAAAAACATAGGACATGCTAAAAAGCAAGAGGGAAACAGTGAATAGCCTACCTAAAATACTAGTGTAAATGGCTGATGAAACAAGGACTGGGAGAGATATTAAAAAGACAAGCATTGCTAAGATCTGAAATGGAGACCCACGAACTGAAGGAACTTGGCATCTAGAAGTTGTACTACTTTATACACAATTAGTCTTTAAAAGTAAAATGTTTCTTTTCTTTTTTTTTTTTCCTTTTGACCAGAGTTGAAATAAATTTTAAGTGAAACTTTTAACATCTAATATATCAAACTAAAAATCAGAAATAGAATATGTGGCAAACACTCATTGAAATAGACACAAAAGAGGCCCTGAGTGGAGTGGCGTGGAGACATGTCTGTTAAAACTCATCACATCCAGGTTTTCCAATGTTAGCAGCAGGACAGCTTAGCATGTCTAGATATGGGCCTCTCTGCAACTAGTCAAGATTTGGGTCTTCATAAGAAGACGCATGCCAATAAAAGTGACGGAAAAACCAGCAGTCAGAATGGGCAGTTGGCAAGACTCTGTGACTTGTGAAGTCATTCCCTTTGACATTTTGTTCCTTGAGTTGCATACCATTCACCATGCTGTGGTTTCTAAGGCAGTGTCATTTTATTTCTTCCCTTCTATGTCTGTTAACCCATAGTTTTTGGGAGAGCAATCGGTTAGGTGTTTTCCCCAACCTCAAGACACCCTTTTGTAACACACAGACAGAAATTAATTATTGCTACATTTTTCCTTTTACTTTAACTGTTTTCTTTTAAAAACACACACATAAAACCAGCAATGAAATAATCATTAATGTTAAATATTCTTCTTGTACCCAGTTTGCTGCTCAGCCATTATAAACACAAGCTCTTCACTCCTTTCTGTTGCTCAGCTGATCTGCTATTCTTCAATATTTAATTCTGGATCCTCTAGTAATTGTCTAACTAAAGCTTTTGCTAATTGACCTATACTAATTTTGCCTAGAGATGGTTGCCACAGAAATACATCAGCAACAAGTTTTTTTTTTTTTTTAGTTTTTTTTAAGTCACCAACAATGTACTACAAATCTTAATGTATTCTTCCATGTAGTTTCAGAGATGGGAAGGGTTTTGCCATTTTGTGGCATCAACACTTGATTGACAAGAGTTGATGTCACAAGATGTTAAGGACAGCCTGAAACATTTTGGAGTAAGCACCATCTATTGATAATATCAGAGTTGTTGAACAATAGACAAAAATGGATTCAACAACAGCAGCAAAGAAGAGGCCAACTTTAATCCTCTGAGGAAGACCTGATTTCAAGTCTTAGGTCATGCTATTATTTTACCTATTCTGATTGATAAATCATTTTTAGAGTTTGCAGTATTACTAGCAATAAAATAGTTATGCATGTCAAACATTCTTTGTGTCCCCCAATCAGCTTGTTGTCCAGCATTCATAGACAAGCTCTCCACTCCTTTCTGTTGCTAATCTGCAGTTTTTAAATATTGCACTCTGTATCCTCTAGTAATTGTCTGACAAAAGGTTTTGCTGGTCAATCTCTAATTTTGTCAGGAGTTAGTTTTCAGTTCTTCCTTAAGGTGCCAACAATGTATTACAAATCTTCATCTATGCTTCCATATGGTTTCAGAGATCTGAAGGATTTTTCCATAGAGTTCCTTATTTGACAGGGGTTGGCTCCATGAAATGTTAAGGACAGCTTGGAGCATTCTAGTAAAGAAGTTGTACTGTTCTATACACAATTACGAGGATCCATGAATGAATTTTTATAAATAAATTAAAGAAATATTGACGCCAGGATTTGATGCCATGAGATGTTTAAGTCAGCCTGGAGTATTCTGGTTCAAACAGAATCTATTGATGATGTCAAAGTCCAAGTGGTTGAGCCACAGACAAAAATGGATTTTCAGCAACAGCAAGGAAGAGAACTTTAACCTTCTGGGAAAAGGTCCAGTTACAAGTTTGTTAAGTGCAACTTAGGCTTTGCTTATATAATTTGTCCCTCATTTGGAATCCCCAATCAGAGTGGAAAATAATTTCTATGTACAATTTGTTTTAAGGGTTATCATTTTAATTGCTTACTTTTTCCAAATCATCTGCTTGAGAATATCCTCAATGAGGTTTTATTTTTTAATTTTTTTTTTTAAATTTAAAAGACTAATAATGTCGTTAAAAGTTGGTAGAATTCTACTTTACTAGTGAGGTAAATCTACTTTCAGTTATTTAGTACGTGAACAGCCTGTGCACCTGGCAATAGGTTATAATTTTATTTTTAAACATTTTTTTTTTAATTTTCCATTGAAATCTTATCTACAGCTAAGGCTGTTAAAAGTCGGCAGATATAAACTGATTAAAATTTCTGGATTAATCCTTATTAAATCCAGACCCCCTTCATATGCTGAGAACAATGAGCATTCACAAAGCAACAATTTTAATTTAAAGTTGGTAAGAGGGTCAGAGGAAAACAACACATAACCTACTCAGTGAGCTTGAGTAATTGGATGGCAGAACAGGGTTTAGGAGAGATAGCAAAAATAAAAAATTTATTAAAAGCTACAAAGGACAGGAAATTGTGGAGAGCCATAATCACCAACATCCAGGAGAGACACTGCACATAGAAGAATGTAATGTTGGATAGGAGTGGTTAAATATATTTGGTTTACAAAAATGTACTATCAAAATAGTACATACAAGAATTCAAATATTGTAATACTTTGTTTCCCAAACTCATATTTAAAAAAAAAAAAATTAGAACTAAGTAACTAGAAATAAGTGCCCCACTATATTATTGTGATTATTAGCAATATCTACTGTGAGTGAGTTTAATATTCACTAGGTATGACATGGGCAGCAGCTACACAGTCTTCATTTTCCAATTCTGAGTTCAAAAACATCACCACATCTTTGTGTGTAATTAATTATTTCCCACCCTGCAAGACCTTTCAAACAGACAAAACATCTCTGCTCTATCGCTATTTCTATGCAAAGAAGTGTTTACTTTAGAGACGATCTACATTTCTGTTCCACCAGTTCTAACCTTGACAGCTAAGACCTGCCATGCCATCTACCTTGTAGTGAACCACCCTCATTCCCTTCGTAAGAGATAAGTCGTTCCCCTCAAGCAGCTTCCTCTCATAAATCGCTGCTTTGTGGAACCGACTCCCAAGAGGATGCTTCTTTGATCACTAGACTCTTCTTAACCTGTTGGAGTATTGGTTTAACCATTATCTTCCCCAGATATCCCCATCAATTATGCCTCTTATTCTGTAACTCGAGTGGCTATTAGTATATTGGGCTTTGTACAGGGTAATCATTATATTGTTAAAAAAAAGTTGCTCAGGTTATATAATCTGTGCCATACTATGCTAAAATTAAACACCAAATCAGGCGAAATCAGTCTGGATTCTTGTTAAAAAAAATGTCGATTATTTCTGGGAGACAGTGTTTTAAGGCAAGCAGATTTTCCAAATTAAAGTGCTCATTATCAAGAGATCGAGCGATAATAATAAATAATATAATTAGTAGTAGCAATAAAAAAATTAAAATCAACAAATATTATTCACTAACTTATCTGTCCTTACACTGAGTTTCGCGGGAATAGCTTGAGACATGTAAATAAATTATTTTTTTACTAAGTTTTATTATTAATAATGTTGCATACATACACACACACATGCAAATAAGCTGAAAAATTTTTTAAAAAATGTGACCAAATGCCTAGTAAACTTCATAATTTGCTAATGAAAGGCCTCTTGGTCGAAACGAAATCTTTTCAGTACATCCACTTATAGTGGGAATTTCAAAAGTTGCTATTATTATTTACCTCCAGTGAATAATACATCAAATAAAAGTTGACAACAAACAAACGTTTAAAAGCCCAACAACTATATTTTAGGTTAATAATAATGTGTTTCTGTAGGAAACTTTAATTAACTGAACCAATTAAAAATGTTAATATTTGTTTTAACCAAAATATTTAAAAACATGACTTGATTTCACTACAAATGCCCTTTTCTTTTTTCAAGTGTTGCTGAATGGAGTAATTTTCAGTCAATATTTATAAATTATAATTGCTTTATGCTAAAAAGCACAAAGTTTAAAGTTTCTATTTATTCACGTTTGCTAATGACATTTTTAATCAGTTTTTGTTTTAAATTAACACCAATTAAGAAAAAAAAATTAAACGAGTTAAATTAACACCAATTATTAAATCGCTGAAAAAAGACTAATCAATTTTCATAAAAGTAATATTAAAAAGAACTATTATAAAAGAATTTTTTAACGAAGTTTAAAACATATTCAAAGGAAAGTTAAAAAAAAAATGAAATGAATTAGTTGCGTATATTGATCACACAGAGAGAGACAAAAAAAACTTTAAAAAAAATAATAAATGTCAAAAATAGACGTAGGTAGTGATAGTCTTTTTTCTTTTTTTTTTCATTTAGAATGAAATCAATCGCTTTTTTTAAAGCAAAATGGGTAACATTTAACAACATGTTAGTTATGGCTTGGTAAACTTTGCTATTTCTCAATTGAACTAAAAAGGCACAACACTAGTTGAGGTAACAAAATTGTAACGCTTGTTCTTATTAGAAAATTAAATAAAAACGTTATTTAAATTTTTGTATACACAGAATCCACTTTCTTCTTCTAAAAATAATAATAATAAAGTTATTTTATGATCAAAATTTAAAATATGACCTGCTTGTTGGCAGAGGTAGTTAGTGCTACCAATGTCAGAAGTCTAGGTTCGAATCATGTACAGTAAAAAGAAACATAAAACAGGATTTTAATAATGATCTCTCTTTCAAGGTAGGCACGCCCACTTTCCGGGAAAGACTGGCGCAACACGATCTTCCTATCTTTTTTGATCCTTCTTTTCTACTCAACTAAGACTCGAGAACAAACTTATTATTTACAACAACCTTGTTAAACACAGATGTAATATTTTAAAATAATATTTACTCAACTGTCTGTTCGTGTTTTTAGTTTAAAAAATTTCCATGACTAAAAAGATTTTTGTGTTTTAAAATTAATTTTGAATTAAAAAAAAAAAAGGAAATGTTTTAAGAAATGTTAATTTTCGTTTGTTTTTCTACGGTTTTAAAGATGATTTTTTTCACCTTTGATTTTTACTTTTAAAATAAACATTTCCAAACAAATCTTCCGTCTCAGCCTTTGTAATTAAAAAGAAAAAAAAAAAGTGGACGAGATTGAGAAAAACAAGGAATGGATTAAAAAAATAAATATAGTACAGATGTTTTTGTTTACTTACCAGCCGATTATATTGTCCGTCGTTAGTTGTTTCCCCCACTTCAAAATGCTTTCTAAATTTTAAATTAATCTGCGAAAAAAAAAACAAAAAAAACAATATCTTTCTTTTTTCTTTTTTCTTTTTAAACAGCAACAGCAAATTTTAATATCAGTCTTTTTTTAGTTCGCTTGTGTGTTGGCGATGAGAATCAAGTTGTTAAATATTGTTTCACTAGCGAAAATCCACAGTACAGTGAAAATTAGAAAAAAAAATCTATCTTTTTAGATACACCATGAAAACAAAAATAAAATATCCACACGTTTTAGTGGCCACGCGAAAAAAGAAAAGAATCAAGTATTGTGACTGACGTCGTTTAGAGTGGCCAGTATGCGTGTCTGCTAAGCAGCAAGGCACGAGGAAAATTGAGTTATCTGCCCTTAGTTCCAATGCCTCGGACAGAGAGCGCCACCGAGGTTTCTGTTGTTATATGGGCGCTCCTTTTTCATGGCCTTTTGCCAGCCTATATTAAACGTTGTAAGGGAAGTTGCAGCTTTTTATCCTGTATTTCTGCAGATTGTACTGCCAGGTAATTGTACTTCTAAATCTCGCTGCAGAATGATTTCACAGGAAGGTAATTTTTTCAGGGCATTCATTCTTCATGTAGTGATTCTTTCATGGCTATGTGTCAACCTTCCACGTGAAAAAAAAGCTGTATCATCATTTTTACTTTTTTTTTAGTCTTCAATTCTACAACTAAATCCTTACTAATGATTTGATGGTTGTAACACAGACCATTTCAAATTGGTTTGATGATGCAAGCATTCCTCATTTGTGGCCTTAAAAAGCCACAAGGAAATGTATTAGCTCATAAATTATTTAAATTTCAATCGACTCATACATTTGCTGGAAAAGGAAGTGACAATCACTAGTGTATTGCTTGTGAACATTACAATCCCGAGTAAGGGCTTCTCGTTTAGAGTCTCAGTCGATATGATGCAATAGACAAAGTAATTTTTTAGTCATCTGCCTTTCACTTCGTATGTTTTTTGTTTTTTTTAAACAAAGACCAAGAAGGTAGATGGTTACTGAATGAATGAGGTTGTTGAAAGTAGATAACGGTTGACGTTCAAAACTTGAGGTTAAGATTGTAATGATTGGTAAGCATCCTCACTGGACTTGTGAAGAAGCTGGGACTTCATTCTTACTTACCAATGGAATACAAAGGAAATAAGGATTTGACCCTATATAAGTGGCAACATCAAGACGCCTGCAGTTAAAGGAATAAATAGTTGCTGGTGTGTACTGACTTTCTTGAGTGCTTATTTCTTAATGGCCTCATAGTGAACAAGTGCAGTTAAAACTGCATTTCTTTTAAACAAATCATACAACTAAGTTATTCCTGCTGAAGAATTGCAATGTTTATCATGGTTTTCTCATATAGTCCATTTCAAGTGAATTTGATCCTTACTGGATGTCCTTTGTTATGGTGATTTTCTAAGTGCAGCATAGATGTGTGGCACAAGGCCAAAAGTATGGGGCACTCTGTGGATCAAACTGACAATTCAGTAATAATTGATTGATCTACCAAGACAAGCTTGCTAACTATTACACCATGTCACAGTGCCTGGAAACGATTTTTTTAGGCATAAACTTAGATGTGATACAAGGTTGAAAGTGTGGAACATCTAGTGAGGATTGAACTCATTACTCAGTTATAACTGAAATTGATCTACTGAGACAATCTTGCTAACCATTACACCATGTTGAGGTGCCTTGGTGGCTTTTATTATGGTGATTTTCTAAGCATAATTTAGATGTGGCACAAGGCCGAAAGTATGGGCACCCAATGAGGATCAAACTCACTACTCAGTCGTAATTGTTCTAGTGAGACAATCTTGCTAACCATTATTAGTTACACCATGTCAAAGTGCCCTGTTGTCCTTTTTTATGATGATTTTCTAAGCATAACTTAGATGTGGCACAAGGCCGAATGTATGGGCACCCAGTGAGGATCGAACTCACTACACAAACATAATTGTTCTAGTGAGACAATCTTACTAACCATTACTTGGTATCCTTTCTTATGACTGCGCCAGCTGTGCACAAGGAAACTGGAGTTATCTGCCCTTGATTTCAATAATGATTAAAAATAGCACCTGTTAAAAATAAATTGTGATTTTATTTTGCAGACTGTTGTATGAGTTTTAACCTTCACTGGATGCCCTGTTGTTGTAGTCAATCGAAGATAATGTCAACTGGGCATTTGTCAGTTTCACAGAGCTTTATCAATGAGTTCAATCCTAGTTGGTCTGTGGGTGTCAAAAAATTAAAGTCACGAGGTAACCAAGAATTTATGTCCTAGTCAACATTTCTCTATTGTATTAAAAGGGTTATTATAAGGACACATTAATTTCTGCAGTAAGGGACCCAGGAGTTTTTGCTACAACCCACTTTAAAAATATGTTTTGCCTTGTAATTTGTGATCTTTGCATATGCAAGATATATTAAAGTTGTGAAATGAACCATTCAAGAGAGCCCTCCAGTGGCTAGGGTTACAGGTGTTGCCCAGAAAGTAGTTTCTCAATGCTCTCTTTGGAAGACATTTCTATTTCTTGTTGTTGCATATATGAAATTGCATGTTCATATCACATCAGAGTCACCAGTGTGGAGAAGTGCCAGAGAGACTTGGTATTTATTTACCAGAAAGTCTGGAATAAACAAACAGAATCAAGGGTATAAACAAATAATATATATTTATTTATTTGGTTTAGATTGGAGTGAGTCCTTTGTAATTTCGGGTAACAAAAGTTCATTTATAAGCCAGATCTTGGTAGCGGTTGAGAGAAAGTCAGTTTCAGCTCAGTAGTTGATAGCTTAGAAGTCAGACCTTGGTAGTAGTTGTCATCTTAGAAATAGGTCGGTGTCAATCTGTTGTGTTCTTCTCAGCCATTAGAAGGGTGGAGAAATGTCTTAAGCAGATGACTGCTTAACTTCTTCATGTGACATGCTTGGCTGGTTTCTCTGGCAGTCCCTTCTTCTCTGCTTCAGGGTTCTCAGTTTATATCCTTTTTGACAAGGCTTCCAGACTACTGACGAGAAGCTTGGTTTCGGCTAACATCAAAAGTCTCTTTGTGTACCTTTTTTTGATTGGCTATAATTATTTTATCTTCTGCCATTTCTTTCTTTTTCATTTTTTTATATAATGAAAGTCATGCCTGGAGCCTCTCTTATTTTGGTAGATTTCTAGTCACAAATGACTAAACTGTGGTTTTGAAACCTGGTTCAGTCTTTTTTTCTTCCTCTTTTTATTTGAGGGTTGTCTTCTTATTAGAAGAGAAGTATAGAGAGAGAAGTTTAGAGAGAAAGAAAGAGAAGTATAGAGAGAAGTTTAGATAGAGAGAGAAGCATATATATAGAGAGAGAAGTTTAAAGAGAGAGAGTGGTACAGTGTAACCCGGATATAAGAGAGACCCGGATATAAGAGAGATTTTCTCTGGTCCCAAATTAGAGCCTGTGTTAATGTATATAAAATAGACCAAACCCGGATATAAGAGAAACCCGGATATAAGAGACTTCTTCTCCGGTCCCGACAACTCTCTTATATCCGGGTTACACTGTATATAGAGAGAAATATAGAGAGTGAAAGAGAGAAGTATAGGGAGATAAACGAGATGAGGGTTTTAAACAAAAGCAGATGCCTTATTTTTATTTTTTTTATTTATTTATTTTTATATTTTATTGTATTGTATTTTTATAAAATAAAATACCAACGTTAGCTATTTATAATAAAATTACCAAGAATATCTATTCATAATATATATTTAGTTGAAGCCATAAAATTGTTTTAAAAAAGTTTAGCATTAAATAATCCATAGAGGGTGATATGCTGCTAAACGAAATCAACCAATCAATGACTTCTTAGTTCGAGGATGAAGTGCTTGAAGGACAACTCTTATTCTTGTGTACTGCATAAAATGAATGCTGCCATACACTGACAATTTTCAACGTATTTTCACATTTATTTGAGGGGATGTGAAAAAGTTCTCAGCCCAACTAAAACTTCTTTCTAAAGTAAAAAAAAAAATGTAAAAAATAAATATTCAGTCATTTGGGTTGAGGCTGAGAATTTTCCAGCATCCTCTGTTCATCTGATTGATTTTATTTTGCAAATTTTTCACACTCAAATTTTTTATCATTGTTTTATTCTCATATTTCATCTCATGTATTATGAAGAATGCTGACAAGCACAACAAACATGTAAGAATTTTAATCCTGGTATTTTGTGCATTAATGAGAAATCAGAAAATTTTGGACATTATTTCTGTTTCATATTTTTTCGTTGTCCACAGAAATACAGACCATTTTTTTCAGCAGATTCAGAACTGTTTTTCTTTTCAAGGTGATAATGCCACTAAGATGCAAGGCATTACTGAGAGCAAAAGAAAATGAGAAGACATTAGTGAGGAGAAAAGAACAATAAAAAAAAAACAGGGATTGGGAAGACAGAACATGGTGACTGACATTATATTTAAATTTTTGAAGATTGCATGTGACAGAGAAGCAAGAAACTGCAAGAGAGATCCACGGGCGGGGAGTGCAAGTGTTGAAGATAGTACATGTTACTTAAGTTTGTTGAACTTCAAGGTGCAAATAGACTTCCCCAGGGAAAGGAAGAACTGATTGAAAATGAGGTTCTTTATTTTCTGCTGGAGTGATTTTGAGAGATTCATAAAATCTTCTGGAAAACACGGGAAAAGCTCGATAAATTGATAGGTGAACAGATTGATCAGTCAGTGCAAACTTCCTTGACTGTTGGAAAGTCAGTCAGTTAAGTGCCATATGTGATCATGTCTCTTTCGATTCATGACTGACTAGGCAGAAGATTTTCTTGCAGTAGGCTCCCATTTCTTTCTGCAGTAGACTGGCTGCCAACCAAGGCTCTAGAACCCATTCTGTCCTCTTATTCAATCCATAACTGGGGGAGTAGAGATGGATTCATACCTTTCCCAAAGGTATATGAGTGTAAGTGATAGTAATGAACCCAACAGGAATTTGAACTCAGCACTCCACTTTAAGTGTGTATCTGTCGACCATAGTTGGAATCATCAAGTCAGTGTGAACGATCCTTTCTTTAACTGCGTAGTATGTGATTCATCAGGGTAAAATCCAGTTTTTGATTTCAGAGTTTTCTTTCTACTAGACCAATTGCCATCCAAGGCTATAGAACCCAGTTTATCCTATTATTTACCCATAGCTGCTGGGGGTAGAGAAAAGTTGGATTCATACCTTTCCTAAGGGTATTCGCATGTAAGTGAATGTAATGAACTGGAATTTGAACTTTGTTCTCCAATTCCTCAATCTGAGCCACCATATGTACCTATATATATATATATATATATATATATATATATATATATATATATATATAACCTCCAGGAAAGTGACTCGTCACACTTTCTCAGGTTAAAGTTCTCAGCTGACATGAAGTGGAAGGACTAAAATTGAATCCATTGCCCGATCAGTTTCTAAAAAGTTGGTTGACTGTGACATGTGTGACAATTTTTCTCTCCAGAATCTATCATACATAGGGTTCAGTACCCCTGCTATCTTGAGCTCTTTGATAAAACCCAAAGAAGAATCAGCAATATTATTGGTCCTGATCTGGCAGCTTGGCTTCAGTCACTTTCCCATTGCCATAAGGTTGTCTCCTTATGTGTTTTTATAAATACTTTTATGGTAATTGTTTAGATGAGCTCTTCGCTATGGTATCTAGAATTGTTTTTAATTTAAGCACAATACAAGACTAGTGTTGAGATCTCATC